GTGCCCAGTACTTCACCCCCTTGAACTTTTCAATTCCTCTCATACACTTCATGGCCTGATTGAGAGCTTCACTTGCCTTCTTTCCTTTAGCAAGCGCATCGTAGAAGAAACTCATGAACTCCAGGGTTCCCTCGTCGTCAATCGCCCACAAGGTTACCACAACAGATCTAGCACCTGCACCCAAAAGTGCTCGCGCGATACCTACCACACCCTCAGCCATAACTTCCCCACGAGCAGTGTGACAGCAACTTAATACAACAAGTCGTGCTCGCAGTCCAGTTTCTGCCACATCATTCATTGTCATTAGGTAGTCTTTCTCTTGAGGTTTTGGGTTTTCTCGTGTGGTGTTTGGTGCCAGAAAAACTTCTCCAGTTTCCATTTTACCATGCGCAGCGATGTGTACCAACGCCACCGATGACATTCGGCTTAACACCTCATCTTTTGTTGCCATTTCTCCAGTGAGAGGGGCGATATTGAGGAAACGTCCGATCATCTCTACCTCTTTCCGTGCTCCTGGAAGTTGCTGCAAACGTCTTCCCTGGTAGATGATATCTTTGAAACATGGGTCTCCAACAAGCAATGCACCAGTCGTCATATGGAATTGAGCTGAGCAATCAGGAATTAATTGCAGGGTCGTCAACGACGGAAGCACACGAATTGTAAAAGAATCACCTAGATAAGTTGACTTGGAGTCCTCCAATGCTGCGAAAGGTACAAGGCAAAATGGCCCCTCAGGAACAAATGTAAGCTCTCTACCCTCGATCAAATCAGCAATGGGAGTAACGATGATTTCATAAAGCTTCTGTAAAGCCCTGGATTTCGAGTACCACACATTAATTGGGACGACATCACCCGCCATTTCCTCCCGTTTCGGCGAATCAAGCGCAGGGTTTTCGCGTCTAACATTTCTTTTTGCACCAATATCCTCAAGAGCGGTTTTGTTCAGGTGCTCAATAAAAATTTCCAAATCATCCTCATACTTGAAACTATTTACATGTACCTTTCTCATCTGGATGTTATTGTTGCTGAGGATTACCCAGAGGTAAACGCAAGGACCAGTAATAGCCATAAAAACTGTGCTCGATGGAACAGCACTCAGAAACGTATTGTTCGAAGAGTTGTTTGTTGAAGAATCTCCAGGCTGATATCTTGTGTCCATGAGATCTCTCAGAGACTGCGCACGTCCTTTTTCTGCGGCAAGAAGGGCCTCTACGACGTTACCTTGCTGTAGATGTGTACGCCACAAACCTTTGTACGCCGTTTGGTGTTGATCACGATAACAAATCTTCCACTGATCGTTGAGTTGAAGACTGGCCCTGATATCATCGTACACCTCTACACTCGACTGAAAGTAGACAAGCGCCTTCAAAACATTTCCTAGGCGCTCAAAACTTTTACCAAGAGAACAGAGTGAGCATGCCTCTCCAGTCTTGTCTCCTTCTTCTTTAGCAATTTTTAGGTGACGTTCAGCACACTCGATTGCTGCTTTAAACTCTCCTTGACTTAGACGAATGTTGCCAAGAAGGCAAAAGTTTGCTCCCTCTCCGACCTTGTCTCCCCCTTCCCTAGCAATTTCTAGAGCACGGTGATGGTACTCGATTGCAGTTTCCAACTGTCCTAGTCTGCAATAAGCGTGACCGAGATTGCAATAGCTTGCTTCCTCTCCGACCTTGTTTCCCACTTCTTTACAAATTTTTAGACCACGTTGCTGATATCCGATTGCTGTTTCAAGCTGTCCCAGATCGGCATAAACGCAGCCGAGATTACCATAAACTCTTCCCTCTTCGGACTTGACTCCCACTTCTTTAGCAATTTCTAGATGACGTTGATGGTACTCGATTGCTCTTTTGAACTGTCCTAGACCATGATAAGTGAAGCCGAGAGAGCCACAACTTTCTCCCTCTGCGACCTTGTCTCCCACTTCTTTAGAAATTTCTAGAGCACGTTGAAGGTATTCGATTGCTGTTTTGAACTGTCCTAGATTTTCATAATCGCTGCCGAGCCCGAAACAACTTCTTCCCTCTTCGACCTTGTCTCCCAATTCTTTAGCAATTTCTAGATGACGTTCATGGTACCCGATTGCTGTTTTGAACTGTCCTTGACTGTCATAAGCGCAGGCGAGATTGCCATAACTGATTCCCTCTTCGGCCATGTCTCCCACTTCTTTAACAATTTCTAGATGACGTTGAAGGTATCCGATTGCTGTTTTGAACTGTCCTAGACTGTGATAAGCACTGCCGAGATTGGCATAACTTATTCCCTCTCCGGCTTTGTCTCCCACTTCTTTAGCAATTTCTAGATGACGTTCACGGTACCCGATTGCTGTTTTGAACTGTCCTAGACCATGGTAAGCGTTGCCGAGAATGCCACAGCTTCTTTGCTCTCCGGCCTTGTCTCCCACCTCCTTAGCAATTTTTAGAGCACGTTGAAGGTATTCGATTGCTGTTTTGGACTGTCCTAGACCTTGATAATCTTCGCCGAGATAGCCACAACCTTTTCCCTCTCCGGCCTTGTCTCCCACTTCTTTAGCAATTTCTAGATGACGTTCATGGTACCCGATTGCTGTTTTGAACTGTCCTAGACCACGATAAGCGTTGCCGAGATAGTCACAACATTTTCCCTCTCTGGCCTTGTCTCCCACCTCTTTAGCAATTTCTAGAGCACGTTGAAGGTATTCGATTGCTGTTTTGAACTGTCGTAGATCTAGATAAGCGATGCCGAGAGAGCTACAACTTCTTTCCTCTCCGGCCTTGTCTCCCAACCCTTTAGCAATTTTTACAGCACGTTGAAAGTATTCGATTGATGTTTTGAACTGTCCTAGAGCTCCATAAGCTTTGCCGAGATTGGCAAAACTTCTTTCCTCTCCGGCCTTGTCTCCCACTTCTTTAGCAATTTCTAGATGACGTTCATGGTACCCGATTGCTGTTTTGAACTGTCCTAGACCACGATAAGCGTTGCCGAGATAGTCACAACATTTTCCCTCTCTGGCCTTGTCTCCCACCTCTTTAGCAATTTCTAGAGCACGTTGAAGGTATTCGATTGCTGTTTTGAACTGTCGTAGAGCTCCATAAGCTTTGCCGAGATTGGCAAAACTTCTTTCCTCTCCGGCCTTGTCTCCCACTTCTTTAGCAATTTCTAGATGACGTTCATGGTACCCGATTGCTGTTTTGAACTGTCCTAGACTGTCATGAGCGCAGCCGAGATTACCATAACCGATTCCCTCCTCGGCCTTGTCTCCAACTTCTTTAGGAAATTTTAGATGACGTTTATGGTATCCGATTGCTATTTTGAACTGTCCCAGGCCTTGATAACCATAGCCGAGACTGGGATATCCGTTTACCAAAACTTTTAGTTTAGCATTAGAAGTGTTCAGTAAATTAATCAGGGGTTCGCTGCTGTTGTCAATCTTAAAACGTGTCAAGGATAAATACAATATGAATGGATGTGCGAGAATGTGGTGGAAATGTGTTATTTATCAATTTAGAATACTAGATAGAACCTTAAAAAGTAGAGCGTTAGCTCGGACTTGGGTTTCTTTCAGAGATTTGGTCTCTTTGAGTATCTTAGAGTGACCAAACCAGCTCTCAAGCTCAATCATTTGCTTAGTTTTGGTTGTCAAGGTGATGTTCGCCAAGAGATACAAATTAGGGGCCATCGGTTCGAAATTTTTTAATGACTTTTTAAAATAAATTTTTTTAAAGTGAAAATTGCGCAGTAATTGAAACAGCCCTTTGAGAATACTTTTGCTCCTAACGACCGCTAAGTGCGGTATCAGTGAACATTGCTTGCATTACTTGTATACGAATGTGACTGTAACGTGTTCATTTTCTTGGAAATGTTGCTTGCGTAGCTTGTTGTATCTCGTTTGAAACATTCGTGAAAGGATACGGCCAATCCCATATAAAACCAGCTTCTTGCTTCTTTATACAAGGAAAGCTCGACACATGCACTGGCTCCTGAAAAGAAGACAGCAATCGGTGGTGCAAGGTAGTTATTACCGTCAAGGTACAAACGTATGCAGAAAACGATTTGATTTTTGTTTAGCTCGAAAAAACAAATTGTGATAAAGAAGAAATTATGAACAGTGGGAGAACTTAACATGGACTCTAAGGAGCTTATACAAAGCGGCTTCGAACGAAGGTTCAGTTGAAATTTTATTGATGTCTACTAGTGTTTTTTAACTTTATAGCAGATATAAACACAGCAGATATCATGGACACCTGAGTTGCAGTCGCCTGCCGTGATCCACACAGTTCACTTTTGACGAAATCATAGAAAGAGTTTTGATGAATTATGGCTGAGAACCCACCTTTTTTGATGGCTTTAATTAAAGTGGGTTCCAATTGAACAGCAACTGCTGCATCATCGAGACACTCTTGGTAGTTTCCTATGGAATTTAGGAAATGAGTTTTAGGTGGTAATTACATGCAAATGCAGAAAAGAGGCCAAAAAAAATTGCAATGGCTTAAATCGAGGTGCATCTGCGAGGATCATTTCTTTAATTAATTTTTATGCAGTGTCATGAAAAACCAAATTTATTTCATTTAATGTTGTGATCAGATTCCCTCACGGAAAAAATAACTATAAAATTTGCCTCGCTCCTATTATAACCTGTGGTCTCCTATCCCAGCTAGTATCTGGGACGCACGGGTTCGGCTTCTTTGATGCAAATTCTTATATTCAGGTGCGGATGCAGCGGAGGTGAAATGGGTGAATTTTCACCCCTTTTTTTCTGAGCCCCTTTCCTTCTTTATTTTTTTCTTATCTCTCAAATATTGCAATAATATTTGATTTCTCTGATTTCTCTGATTGAGGTGGAGAATGTGCATAAGGGATAACTTGTTCTACCAATCAATCTATTCATTTTGAGCTCACAAACACACTGTCCAGCGTGTAATCCAAAAACGCCTCGTTTCCATGCTTTAGCGACGTTGCGTTGTCGTCGTCCAGGCTAGGTATGTCTACTCTGCCATTCCGAAGGCGTGCGATTTCGATTTCTAGATTCTGCTTATAACTCTTAGTTTTTGCTCCTCCGTCCACGTTGCAGCGCTCGATAGCTGGCTTTTTTACAACTTTACGATAATATAATTGGCATTTGCGTTCGTCTAAAATTCGAAAATGTTAATTATTCATGGGAAATCAATCATGCTGATGTACAGACCTCAAACAACTTAACCAGGCTTTGGTTCTATTACATTATTACAAGAATTCACCCCCCATTTCATTATCCTGGATCCGCGCCTGAGATTGTGGTCCACTTGCGAGAATCACGTCTTTGCTTGAAGGAGACTGCGCATTCCATTATCTATCGCTGCACGACAAATCTATAAGTTTGAAATGAAATCCTTACCCAAATGGAAATGAGCTGCTGCCCTGTTGCTGTAAAGTTTGGCGTTCAGCCGTTTATCTTCGCAGATGACTTGAAGTCCTTTAGTGTAAGAGTTTATCGCGTTATTAGCTTCTCCTTGTCTGTATTCTTTGTTTCCTGTCTCGAGACATTCTTTTGCTATCCCTGAAAACAAACCGGTCTCAGGGTTGGTTACTTTGTTAATTTTTTTATTTATTTAAATACTTATTTAAAGATTTGCCCACAACTTACAATGTGCGGGTAGTGCAAATAATAAGATATCATGTCCTCTACAAGATTCGACTACCAGCCCAGCCCCATGGTAGTGACAATTCAATAAATATTTAAAAACCAGAAAAACCCTTCACCAATCCAGCAACAAAAGATAAATAACTTAATTGATTAATTAATAATTAACAAGTGCATGTACTATATAAATTTACTCTTCTACATTTGGAACGAATATTCTTAGATGAAATCTTAAATCTTATCCTTTTTTCTGATGGTGACAAAGCTTGAAATCCGAAGAGTTATATTTTTCTGTTTCTAAAGTTATTGACAGAACATAACAAAAGTTGATGTAAATGTTCCAAAACTATATTGGGGCGTCTTTCAAGAGTGCAATTTCACCTTGTTTTCTCACCTCTTAAAGGATCAACGTATACACCGAATTCATGGTCACATAGAGTTACTTGACTTTCCTCGGTCGCTGAAATTAACAAGAAGTTATTTTAAACTTAACAGTGATCACAACAATGTGTAATTCTAACCAAGCGAATTTTCAGATTTCCAAAACCTCAAAGTTGAATTGTTCTCAAATAACAACCCCTTCAAAATTACCGTAAAGAGGACTTTCCCTTTTTTATAAAAGCCTTTGAACTACGACTCCTTTTTCCTTCGTTTAATATATTTTCACCTATTCGGGAAACCCAGACCGCAACATATCTTTGGTTAAGATCTCCGGGAGATTAAAATGGATTTTCGGTTTGCTTTCCGCAGTAAAATTTTAAACACTCATACGGAACACCAATAATAAAAGCCTGGAGCCCATTACTTAAAAGCCTAGTATTCGAGCCTACTCGCTAGCTAGAGAAATTTCATTCGCATCTTTTGTTTAGTCTCGTCACGTTACAGGGGAGAGACCAGGTTGCGTGACGAGATCAAACAGCGGCTGCGAAGGAGAATATGGTAAGCGTGGCATCAATGTAGTTTATTCCCACTTAGAATTATTCAGAGAACAGTGACAACAGACCACAAAATACCTGTGTGTGATCTGATTTTATATCAATGGGAAGGGTCTTTTTCGCTCTTTCTCTTGAACTATATTTTTGTCGGAACTTTGAAAGTTAATGATCTTTTTCTTGTACAAAAAAGAAAAAATAGTGTCCCATCTGAACCCACTTATCCAAAAATAATACCTCTTGTATGCGGTGCAGGCCTATGTTTCTCACCTGTGACCGGGAGCTCATCTTTTGCATCCAGTTCTTCTCCCGTTGTAGGGAGGTTACTTTCTGCCATAGCTGGAAATAAAATAGAATCAATTGTACTGTGCTATAAAACATGGAAAGAGGAGAGTCACACAAAAGTAATTTAAAGAGAACGTCGTACACATGTATATTTAATTATAAAGAAAGAACGAGAATCTCAAAGGATCCATTATCACACTATTGTTGCAGCACACTATTGATATCGCAAAACTAGGGAGAACTTTGAAAATATCAGTAAACGCATCGCTGAAAAAGAAAATGTGTTGCTGTATAGTTTTGAAGAAGATATTTTGATAATTTCTAATAGCTGGTGAGGTGATCTCGTCCCTTAGAATCAGATTCTGCACCATCATCAGCATTCATTGAGCCCACGTTTTAATCTTTCAGCGTACGACATAAATAAACAAGCTCAATATGTACCAAATTCAGTCTATTACTGAGCAAAAGATATATCTACTAAAACGGAACTCGAACTGAAAACCAGTCAGAAATAACTTGACTAACCACCTTGTGGATACGTAGTTCGAATAGTTGAAGACAAAAGTCTAGTTCCCTAGCAAACCACATTAATAACGGGTCAAGTTCGAATGATGTTGGCAAGCCTTCAAAGGAAAAATAATTAATCGCGACGTTAGCGAGGTTTCGTTTTCATACGTGATCAAGATTCATCGGATTTAGAAAAAAATAAACAGGAATCGAAGGAGGGAAGAAGTATTTGTTCCATTCATACCTATGTCTCGAATAAATGATACGTTTAGTATCCGAGTCAAAAAACCCAAATGATTAATCGTGACGTTGGCGAGGATTCGTTTTAATATGTGATTAAGAATTCGTAGTGATCGTGGTTTCTAGGGTAAAGATTTCACTTTTGTTAGGTTTGTCACGTTTATCAAATATTCCTTGTTCTAAAGCGTTGGAATCCGCGAGCGCGGAGCAATATTAGACGAATCCTGTGCTCGCACCGGCTACCAAGGAGGACAAAGTGTATGTTTTTTTTTAATATGATTCCTACTTAGATTACGCAAAAACAAAAAAAAAATTGCTTTTAGCCGGTTTAATACCTCGTGTAATGTCTAATGACACCACTTTGTATTTATGTGACATGAAAAAAAAGGTTTTTTGACAGTTTTGGCTACAACGGAATCACAGTTACGTCTCTCGTAAAAACAAAGAAAATCACGAAGAGACTCGCAGATTCATGTAGTAATTCCTGAGGCGTGTAAATAATTTTTTTCATGCAATAAATTCTTTATTGACGAAGCTTTTGTATCGGTTCTTCAAAATAGAGTGAAGGAACTTAGTCAATAAACAGGCTTCTCAAACTCACACTTGGTCAGTAATATGCATAAAGAGGCTATTACATAGCCGCACTTGGATATGAATATTCATTTCTTCAAAGAGAAATCTTAAACTAGGGGGATAATTCGTATTAAAAAGCAAAGGTATATCCTCTTGTTTATTTTGTCGATATTGATTGCAAATTTGAATCAAAGACAATTTTGAAACACATTCGAAGAGCACTGAGTGCAGAGATCTGCTGCATCGAAAACTCAGCTCGCCCGAAAATCACTTTAACCACATCAAACTCACGGGGTACAAATAGTCTCTTACTGAATTTCGTGACCACGCCCACTTCATCGACCCACTCAAATCGAGTGCGATTTTTGGATATTATATCATCTTGCCGACTCTCTGTATAAAAAGTTAACAATGTACCACCGAAATATTGAACTATAATATCATGGCTTTCCATTTTGTGTATTTTGCATGACTAGACTGTACTAAATTAGGCGAATTTTGCATAGGATGGTCAGGAAATGTACAAAGTTTAAAATGAACCTGCTGAGTTATTGTTCAATTCGTTTGTCTCGCCAACTCGTTGCCGTCGTTTGTTTTAGTACTGTTCTCAACTAGAATATTTATGACACTTAAATAAAGGTTCATCATCATCATCATCTACTTTGTGCTCAAAGACATGCACGAGTTTTGTTAGTCACCTACTGTTTAATCAAGATCAGCATCGTTCTTTGTTTACCGTTGAGAGACAAAAGGCGCAGTTCCGATGAATCATTTAGAATTAATTGAGGAACTTTCCAAGAAAAACCGGAACTGCTTAAAGGTGAAATCGAGAGGTTACAAAGCCATCGAGCTGGTCATCGTTCAAAAACAAGTCTAGAATCCTTTTTCTACTTGGCGGTTTTCGTCTCCTCAGTTTTATTTAATTGACATTTAACTCTTTCGATAGTCAGGTAAGCCATTGAGTATCTATTTTCAATACTAATTGGAATTTCGTCTGAAGCATTTCTCAACGAAAACGTTCACACCAGCTATGCGGCTTGTTCAGCGACATGGTTGGTGTTGCTGAATTAAAATTCATTGTCTTTTAGGAGAATAGAACTATTCTCGACACCTTAATTTGAAACATACTATTTCTATATATATGATAATCTGAATTTCACAGAGGCAAAGGCTCCACTAACGAAAATTTACATCTGTATTTCTGTTGAAAAACGGCTATCGCTTGAATTAAGAAAACAGTCTTAAATAGAAATGGATTCAACTGCACATTTCAGATCTATTTTTATGAAAGAAAGCTTTTCTAGGGTTTTATCAGGTTAAATAGGCGAAGTTCATGAGTATCTATGCTTTGCACACTAGATTATATTTGAGACGACATTTAGTAAATGAGAGATAACTTGATGATTCAATGTTTGATATCGCAACATGTTGCATCGAGGCCAAAGTCGGCAGCAACACGAGTATAGTTAGGGGATACTTAAAACCTATCCAGGGAAGTCTCCTTAAATACGGGTGTTACTAAACTGTAGTAGATCAGCAGACCGATGAACCTGTGGAACTATTACTTTTTTTGTAAAACAAAAGTAATCAGATAGAACCTTAACTCTGTTCGAAATTTCGTTTTCGAGTGTTAAAGGAGATTAAGTTTATAGAGAAGAATTTCCTTAGCTTCCAACTAGATATAAATGACTCAGTTGTGGCGACATTCACCGTACGAGGTATGTAATGTCGTACTGGAGCGGCAATCTGTTGCGTTCTCGACTACGATTGGAGAACAATCGAAGGGACGCTGTTTAGTGTTGCCAAAATGCTACGCTAGTACTTTTACTGCGGATTTAATGCAACCACACTTTTAACTGAATCCCATGGCACGTTTTGGAGAAACTAAGATGAAGAAATCGAATACTAAAAAAACGTAATCACCGAATAGAAAGTGATGACGATAATAGCACTGAAAAAAACGATGACTCGCCCTGTCCACCTCCTACGAGGCTAAATAGAAGGTATCTTACGATCTGATGCTCCGTGAAATCGTTCTCATCGCGTCTTTCTGTTGCTTACGATTATGAGCGAAATCTTGAATAACGATAAAACATTAATATAAATAGAACGTTCGAGCGTGACTCGCGTGACACAATAAGCAGTCACCAACCCTGGTGTTAGTAATTTGAATTATGATATGAGAGCTCCAACGATATCCGAATAACGCCTCATCCGAAGGCTCATAGCAAACTTTTATGTTGTAATTGGTAGCCTCTAATTCCATTTCATTTTACATGACCCTGGAATAAGGAACAT